TGAAGGAAAAGACAATGACTTTGGATCTATGATATGAAAAGGGATTGACTTTATACTTAGGGAACATTGCGCCCAATCTGTGGAACGAAGATATACCACTTCACCAAAGACCAATGATGGAGATTCAAATCTAGCCTTAGCATGTTAAGTCTAATTCAGAGAAATTGACATTAAGTGGAAAGGATATCATACCTATATCGTAAGACCGGCTCCAAATGATGAGGTTTATCAAGTTAAAGTTTTGAGGTGATTAAGAATTAATTAACAAACATTCCAATTGATAAAATCTTGAAATACTCATACTGAGAGCAAGTCCATATCAAGAGATGTTCTTGTGTAGAGATGACAAGAAACTTTCTCGAATGATTACATAGGTAAAAGAGTAGCAGCTTTGGGGACTCTTTGCTTTGAAGTACACGTGGAAACAAAACTTTCATCAACACTAAATTCTTCAAAGTCTTGAAATGTTATATGTGTAATATTGTCACAATTTAATTAATCTTGTGTCATCTTCAGCATCCTTTGAAAATCTAATAACTCTAGAGGTACGGCGGTGAGATGGATTGATAAACTTAGTATCATCCTCAACGTTCAAAAGTCTGGTGAAACTTAAGAAACTGAGTGTAGGACATTCTGAAATGATGATTAAAATGGTAGCTAAATGTGGGAGATGTTGAAAAAGATGAACTTGTTTTTTATAAGTTGAAATCTTTGTCACATGACTTCTGTATGTCATATATCCTCTAGTGTCCCATCTTTTTTTTTTTTTTTTTTTTTTTTAAGATAAACAACTGTTATATGATTGTTCTACGATAAAGAAATATCTATAAATATGTTATAACCTTAAAAATTCCTTGATGAAATAAAAAAAGCAAAGCCAAAGTAATTACATAAACTATCCTTACGAGACAAAATTATATATTAAAACACTAGCAATATGGATATGCCTATATATTAAGACATTAGCAATATGGACATGCATTTATCAAGAATAAAAATAATAATAGTATGAATATATCTTTGATGTTATATCACGATCAAGTAACTTTAAAACAGATAAAGATAATTATAAAAAGTAATTAAGTTACATAAATAAATAAATTAAATTAAAATAAATGGGTGCGGATACTAAGCATGCGAAGGAAAGAAAGAAAATGAATAATTAATTGATATAGATATACATGAACTGCCTCCTATTCAAAAAATATAAATTTACATAAGATTATCCTATAAATTACAGCCTCAAAAACTTTATAAACTCCAGGTGCATTGACTCCCATTTCGATGTCAATTAAAGGAGGTGAGAAAGATGGTAATAGAATAGCCAGCCTCCAGAACACATGCAAAGATTTGTACAACTGTCACATCAATTAAAATTTCATCTAGAACAAATAAATAAAATTAATTAATTAAAAATAATAATAATAAACATTCCAAGATTCGTCCTTGCATAGATATGCCTCATTTTGCGTGAACAGAGCAGTGAGACCACGAGCTCTAAGAAGAGGTCAATGGTGTCGTTGGTACCAAAATTGTTTTGGGCCGGAGTTAGGCTCCACCCACCACAGCCTGTTTTCCTCCTTCAACATCACTTGACCAACAATTTCCCATCTCTCACTCTGTGATAAAAAATGAATTAATTCTTCCGAAAAAGAAGTAAACTTAATTTATAGAAAAACAAAATTGGCGTTCGATTTACGAGACTAAAGCCTCCTTATATAGTTGGATCCCATGATCTAATCCTTTATTTACTAAATACTAATTAATGAGTTTATATACACTTGAAAGGCTAAACGGAAAACCATTTTTGTAACTTGAAGTGTGTAATAAATTAGTAAATTAAAGTGATGTGAGGATGTGGTCTCCACATGCAAATTAATTTAATGGAAACACTCAGAGATTGAAAATTGTATGGAAACTTTGTAACAGATAAAGGGTTCTCTTTCCACTTGAATAATTCATTAAGATTATGTCGGTGTAACAACTTACAGTATCAGACTAATCCTTGGTTAAATAGTACTCGGTATACTAAATACTTTCAAACGTAACTCTTAAAATTTATAAATATATGTTGAGTAAATTCTAATTATAATGGAACTTGGATAAGATTAAAGCCAAATCAATCGATTAGAATTCAAAAAAAAAAAAAAAAAAAAAATATGGTAAGAATCATTTACCTTTTCACATAAAAGGTAGTCAATCTAAATTTAAAGTTAATAGCAAATTTTGAATAATTTCATATACGTTATTACTAGATTAAAAATAAGGTAAAGTTGTAAAGTATACTACAAAATTAAACTATATTCTAGCAAGTAACAGTATTGAAACTAGAGAGAGTTTGTTTCAAGGAGAAATTTCTATAATGTCAGATGCGGTATATATAAAACGATATCATCCAGTATCATATAATGACATTAAAATTGTGAGAGTTGGAATGTAAATGAACAAATAGTTTGGAGTTCGAAGGTTTAGGGTTTCATTATTCAAAACTTTAATATAAGACTATGTTTCCGAGTAGATAAAAGTCTTGCTCTAAGTATGGAATCATTTATCACTTTGCGTGATGGACAAGAAATACTATGTATTGAATGATTCAGATTTCTATTTGTTAGTGGTCTAAGGAGATGAATTTCAAGTACCCTTCCTTGTAATGAAGAGTCATTGAAGATCCAAGGTAGTGGGCTCTTTTGAAGAGAAAATTAAAAAAGATTGGACTAGAGGTACAGTTCAACCTCCAAAAAAATTATATGAAAACGGGCACTGACATCCTGATTATTCAAGAATTATGTAGGCACTAAGCAATTTACAAGTCAGCGAATGCAATCCCACATACCCTAACCCAATAAGAAATTCAAGCCCATTAAAACCTAATGAAATTATAAGTAATAATTATGCATATATCTTACCCAATGACTAACACAAATATATTGAGATCATCAAACTAATTTATTTATTTATTTGGATATCAGTAGAAAATTGATATTCCCAAAAAAAAAAAAAAAAAAAGGTAGCCACAAACTTTGGGCACAAAAGGTCTTGAGGCAGAAATGAATGGATCCTTCCAAAAGCTATCATCCACACTGACTCTGCCAAAACTCCTCTTCTTTGCTAACACTATGATACAAGTATGACACAGAAAGGATGCTACTAGTGGAGAAAAAGCATTTATTCTGAAGCGTTTGCAAAACGGTAGGAGGGTCCCCGAGTCATAATGGACCCTTGCCACTACCCACTGGCGATCTTTTTTGCGAGAGGGAGAATGCGAATTTTTAGCTACTTTTAATTTATTGTATACTTTTCTTTTGCTTTACATAAATTATTACTGCCACTGCAAGTACTGTTTGCTTTCTCATTGGGGTTGGTATTAATCTCAATCATTTCATCATTCTTGACAAGTTGCCTCTAACTCTGAAGCTTTTCCAGCATGCATGAAGAAAAAGATAAAGCCATTGGTGGACCGAGCTGTTTTCTGAGTCTTTAATACAATTATTGTGAACATAAAATAATTTATAAAGTCTCTTTAACTATGTTTACAACACACTATTTTGTTGCGAAAAGAAGTGAAAGATGATAAGAGCATCTTAAACAGTTGAAGTTTTGGCAACTCTCACCAACTATTCATCTTGTAAGACAAGACTACCATTTCAATTAGGAATTTCTAACATGTCAGTAATGTTACTCTAATATGGTAATACAATTTTAAAATAAAATTATACATCTCAACTAAATATGCAAACTAGCCTTCATACTTTTTTTCCTTTTAACATCTGTTTACATTATAAATCTTACCTAGAATTACTGTAATTTATTTTATCATTTTAATTTATTCATAAACATCCACAACGTGGATGGTCAGATATATGATTTGCTCCCATAAGGTCCGGGCATGAGCCCCCTCATAGTCACGTACATGGCCAAAAGTATTCAATTTCAACTACATCCCAATAGTAGCAAGATTTGATAGAGACTCCAATTTCGAACTCAGACTTATAAAACAAGTGGATAATTTGGATGGCATGGTGCGGCTTGTCCCCTTAGAAAATAGGGCTTCCCTGCTAAATCTGACGAATATCTCCGCCTTGCCCGATTGACATCGCGACAAAGTATTCAATTTCAACTACCACAGAGCATGCATTTTCCACCATTTGCCAAGTCCTCATTTTCACAAAAGTAGTGCCGCAGATTCCCAAATCCTCAAGTAGCAGGAAGAGGGAGCAAACCCCGTGTTAACACCTATTTATACGAATGATTAAGATCTATTCCCCATTGATATTCACTCTCCATAAATCGTGCATTCTAATTTCTAGCTAATGGATGTTAAATCACAGTTCATTTATCATGTCTAAGTAAAGCAACTCAAATCCTAACCTTAATGAAAAATCAACTTCAAGAATGCAATTACATGCCTTGAATGAACAAACACCATTCATAATCACAGGCATTACTCCGTATGGGTTATCAATTCGAATTTTCATTGGATCATTGCAATTCATTATCTTTTAACTCTTGAGATGAGATCAAGGACAGAGATCAAATAACAAATTTGGACAAAGTACATTTTTTCATTCCTTTCTTAGAAAAATAAAAAATAAAAAAATTCTTAGCAAGAAACCAGTTCATTTATTGGTCTGCAACATGTTAAGGATTACTAGTCATAAATACAAAGAAAGCTTTATGATTAGAATTTTGGTTTTTTATTATTATTATTATTATTATAGCTTATCTGTGAGTTTGAACGTGTATATTTTATATAAAAAAAAATATATTAAAAGAATAGTACAATTAATACATGGATCGAATTGATATTAGGAATAGAAGACAAACAAACTCCAATGAGAAACTGACAATATGCTTATAAAGTTATAAATATAAAACTTGTGCAGTACTCTTAATTAATTTGTTTATTGTCTTCTTCCTGTTTTGAAGAAAAAAGGTAATAGCCATAAAATTAGGGTAATTCACTTTCGGTGTCGACTTGTTCTCTTTATCATGTTAATTAATTTTTTTTTACAGGACGCGTTCTAGTACAGTGCAATACTGCGCAACAAACGCGCCCTGCATCTTCTTTATCATATACACCAAATCGTTTTTGTTATATTTTCTGACTTATACAGCGACTTCCTTAACCTCCCTTAAGCTCCTCCTTTTCTAGTTTTTCTGTTTTCTTCTCCTTCACCGCTTCAGAGACCACTCCTGCAGATCTTTTTTTGTTTTGGCTAAAAGAATTCTTTTGAGCAGAAACCACATCGCTTGATATTTTACTCCTCTCCAATTCTCCTATTCACCCCCTTTTTTTAAGCAAACAAAAAAATCTCCCATTTCCTTTGTTTCTTGTTTAATGAAAAAAAAAATTGTTTTGTTACTGTCTCTGTTTTAATTTCATTTGCTTTCTTTCCCTCTATTTTTCAAATGTAAAAATACGAGTGAGGGAGGAAAGAAAAAGGGTTGAAAATGGTCGATATTGCTGGGAATGTCGCAGGTATTGTGAGCGCTGTTCTCGATGTTGACAAGTGCTTTATGTACTTGCTCAACCACAAGAGCAACATAAGAATTCTCGAAAGAGAAGTTGGGAAGCTGAAGGTTGCAAGAGATGAAGTGGAGCGTAAGGTTGAAGTTGCTAGAAACAATGTGGAAATGATTGAAGAGATTGTTGAGCAGTGGGTAATTAAAGTGAACTCCATCGTTCCTGAATCAGAGACGTTGATTAAAGAGAGAGCAAACGTCCGATGTTTCAGCTTGAAAGCCGGCTACAAACAGAGCAGGAAAGCATCGAAAAAGGTGCAGGATGTTGCTGAACTCCTGCATCTACAAGAAGCATTCGGCGATCAAGTTTCCCGCCCTATCATTCATGAAGACACGAGGCTTATATTGAATAAAGATTACTTGGCCTTTCAATCACGATCGTCCACTTTGGAGGATGTATTGAAGGCATTAAAGGAGGCCGAGGTGGACATTATTGGGGTTCATGGGATGGGTGGCATCGGTAAGACCACCCTAGTCAAAGAAGTTGGTAGGCAGGCCAAGGAAGACAAGCGATTTGATAAGGTGATTTTTGTAGAGGTAACTGACACTCCGAACATAGAAAAGATACGAGAAGAAATCGCGAATGACTTAGGTTTGAAATTTGATGATAAGGGGACTGAAAGTGGAAGAGTAAATAAATTATTTGCACGATTGAAGAAGGAGAAGACAATCCTAATAATTTTAGATAATATTTGGGTCGATCTTGATCTGGAGAAACTAGGAATTCCTTTTGGTGAAAATCATAAGGGATGTAAACTATTGTTGACAGCACGGGATCGAAATGTGTTGGACAGCATGGGTGCAAAGTCTTTCTCGATTGACGTTTTGAAGGAAGATGAAGCTTGGAGGTTGTTTAGAAAGATGACAGGTAATAACGTCTTTTCCTTGTACATTTTTATTGGTTTGTCACAATTTTTTTAATACTATGTTATAAATTTCACTCATTTCAGTACTCCCCGGATCTATAAAGAAAGTTTTATTCATTTAAATTTTGTAACACATAAATATAAAGAAAAATCGAATGAATGATCATTAAAGAGAAAGTCACAAGATGATCAGAAGCGCCGATGAATATTGTGTCAATAATTTTATACAAGAAAAGTGGAAAGAGAAAAATCATTTAAAAAAAATATTTTGAAATTAAGTGGTATTTATTTATATATTTAGATATACTAACAATTTTGAATGAGAATTATTTAGAATGGTGTTTGATAAAAAAATAGGTGGAGAGAAATAACAATAACAATTTTCAAGGAGAATTATTTATACAACACTTTAAAATATATACGAATACTTTTTAGCACCTTGATTTATAATTCTCATTTTCCCTTGTAGGTGAAGTTGCTGATACATGTGAGTTGCAATCTGTGCCGAATGATGTATGTAAGGAATGTGGTGGTTTACCCATTGCCATTATTACTGTAGCAAGGGCATTAAAGAACAAGAGACAACTATCTCAATGGAAAAATGCCTTACAAGAATTGAGAAGGCCTTCCCCAACAGAGTTCAAAAGAGTGCTGAAAGTAGGGGTGTAACCAAACCGAGTAGCTCGTGCTCAGCTCATCTTGAGCTCGAGCTCGACTTGATTTATATTGAGCTAGGCTTGAGCTCAAACTGTTCCAAAAATAATCGAGTTGAGTACTGAGCCTGACGACACTCAACTCATGAGCTTAACAGAGCTTGTGTAATTTTAAAACGGTTACAAACCCCAATTCATTTTCAGTCTAATCCAATTTGAAATCCCCTTTTCCTCTCCAGTCTTCGATTTCGGCCACCTAGAACCCCAAATCGCGATGCGACACTATGCACACCATGCCGAAGTCCGTCAGTCTCCAACTCTCTACCAATCTCCGTTAGTCTCTGCCAGTTTCCAACAGTTGAGGACTTGAAGTAATTCATCAGTCTTCATGTTTCTTAATGAAATTGTGTTTGAATAAGATGTGTAAAGTGTGGTTATTAAGATGGTTGTGATGCACTGAATGTTTGATTAAGGCATTGAGATGGTGTAAACTGTAAAATGAGAAGCCGAGATGGTGTACAATCAAAGAGAGTTTAAGGAGTGCTTCGATGTTGTGTCTCTATTTTTGTTAGGAAATGGAGTTTTGACATTAACGTGTTGATTGTGCTTTTCAATACCTATTGTGTTGTGTTTTCATTTTTAGTATAAGGTTCTGTTTTTGTGAAATTTTAATGTTGAGGGATTGACATTTTGTCGAATGAAACTTGCATTTTAGGGTTAGTGAGACATTGGTCTTTGATTCAAAGATTTTTAATTGTCAATGGAATCAGATTTTTTCTTTTTCAAAAATCAAGGCAGTGCAGTGCTGAAGTTGTTGTTCTCTATGTTTGTCCTTTTTTCACAGTGTTACTAATTTAGGTTCCGTTTAATAAGTCGGTATCTTTGCAGAATTTTAGATATGTTTAGATATTTTAGACATGTTTGTCCTTCTTTCAAAGTACAATGGAGATTTGTGAACAAGCCCAACTCTTTTTTTCAATCCAATCCTTTGGATACTAGTAGTTATTTAATTCAAATTCATCAAAAGACGGATTGTAAGAAACAACGTCGTTTATTTATTTTAAAACCAAGAAATTTATTAATTTAAAAAATATATACAAGTAATGAAAATGGGTTCACTTGAACCTACTAAAATTTGACTTTAATTAAAATAAGTTTATATTTTATAATGATTAACAATTTTGGCCCTATTTAAATTAATATTGACACACTAAAATTTATATTAATCAACAATTTTTGACATTCTCTCTCTTCTTCATTTCCTTTCCTCTTCTCTCATACTTTTTTCTTATTTTGATTGCATTAATCAGGAAAGGCTATTCATTTAAAGGTCATAAGGTAAGATAAAAGAACATGAGATAAGAACTTTGTAGGCAGTAAGCAATTTAGAAGTCAGCAAATGCAATCCCACATACCCCAATCCAATAAGAAATTGAAGCTCATTAAAACCTAATGAAATTATAAGTCAGTCTAAAAACATAAAACACCCCAACCCAATGAAGTTATGAATTATCCAAAAGGCTTTTGCTTTCCACCAAAAACATTATGAAATATGCAAAAGCTGTATTTACATATTATTGTTCATCAATTTCAATTGCAGGCTGCGACCAGCTGATGTATACATCATGATCATAATTGATATTCTTTGAAAAATAAATGTTAATGTGATAGGATAGGTCTCTTCCACCTCTCATTTTATTTATTTTAAAATAAAAATAAATGAATGAAATGATAAACAATGAGACTTTCGGAGACTGGAGAGAGGAGGTGCACTTCTCATTTCTCAACACAATTCACTGAATGAAATTGACATGCCTCCCACGAGTAGCCCACTTTCCTGAATTTTCTAAAGCAGGTTACCCCACTCTTCACAATTCACATGTCCTTCATAATACCAAATCAACATAAAAAAATAGGAACAAATAAACAACACATCATGGAAATTTGTTGAAAGATTAATGAGATCGAGAATATTGTCATTTTGTTCCAATTACTTCCAAATGAATATCCCACCCATTATTTCTGATACTATGATAAGATAAGAATGGACTGTACAGAAACAAGCTTAGCCACAAATTTAATCATCTCATCATCCTTGTGGAAAATAGCTGGCCAGCATATGAGTTACCTTCAACTTAAAAAGCTTTTCCAACATACATTCTAAAGCCGGCCATAACTATTTATGTCTAACTTTATGTCCAACATGTTAAGGATTACTAGTCATAATCGTAAATACAAAGAAAGCTTTATAATTATAATTTTGGTTCATTATTATTAATCTGCGAGTTTGAATGTGTAATTTTTATATAAAACAAATATATTAAATACATGGACGGAATTGATATTAATGAGGTGAAAAGAAGGGGCATGGGATGGGAGGGTTTGAAGGAATAGCAGAGGGGTGAAATTATATAATTTGGAAATAGGCTGGTTAAAGATTAGGTAGGAGTTTAAGGTGTGGAGTGGAGGAGATATGGACGCTATGCATTGGCCAATTAATATTTTTCTGTTTGCTTCTTCTCCTTCACCGCTTCAGATAAACACTCTCTGCAAAAAAAAATTTTTTTTTGGGCCTTTTGGCCAAAAGAATTGTTTTGAGTGGAAATCACATCTTGCTTGCTTAATTATCGAAAATTGATGGGTGCTTTTGTCTATTATTTTGGATAAGATTTTGGGAATAATATTATGGATAAAATTTTGGGAATAATATTAGATAGTTGAATAGGATAAGTATTACGAGGTAAAATTTAAAAATTAATAAAAAACTCCATAGGTTTGCTAATTTAACTAAACACCCTAACATATAAAAAATTTGTAAAATAACAAAAACACTCACATCTATCCACAGTGCTAGATTTCGGCTACCACTGTCAGAATCTAGTGAAAAATGGCGTTATAACATAGACCGATCGAATCTGGTCAGTCGTGCATCGATATGACATTTTTTGGCTAGATCTGGCCGTCGACGGTCATAAAAGGCTAGATTTGGCCTTCAATGACGACTAGATCGATGAATTACCAGTCATTTTCGATCGTTTTTAAGCCGTTGTAATAGATTCTGATAATCGCCGACGGTGGTTGTCAAAATCTGATAACTATGGGTGAATGAGGGTGTTTTTGTTAATTTTTAAATTTATTTTCTAAGAATGTTTATTAAATTAATAAATTTAAGAGGTTTAAAAGTAATTAAAAAAATAAAAAAATATTTTTTAAATAATTAAACAAACAAATATTTTATAAATAGGATTGAGAATAATAGGGAAATATCGTATGAAACAATAAAACTAACATATATTAATAGGGAAATATCGTATGAAATAATAAAACTAACATATATTATTTAACATTATCTCAATAATCTTTTATTATCCTTAATGAAATGATAAACAATGAACTTTTGGAGAGCGGAGAGAAGAGGTGCACTTCATAATAGTCAATACAATTTAATGAATAAAACTGACATGCCTTGTATAGGCTGACACAAGTAGCCCACTGTCCTAATTTTTCTAAAGCGCGTTACCCCACTCTGCACAATTCACATGTCCATAATTCCAAGTCAACATAAAAAAAAAAAAAAAAAAAGGAACAAATAAACAAACACGTCATGGAAATTTGTTGAAAGAGTAATGAGATTGAGAATATTATCATTTTGTTCCAAATGAATACCCCACCCATTATTTCTGATATTATGATAAGATAAGAATTGGCTGTACACAAGCAAGCTTAGCCACAAATTTAATCATCCTTGTGGAAAATGGAAAATAGCTGTGGAAAATATCTGGCCAGCATATGAGTTACCTTTGACTTCAAAGCTTTTCCAGCACGCATTCTAAAGCCGCCTTAACCATGTTCACAACACATGATTGCACCTTGTTGCTGTTTTTGTCCTTTTTAGCTGACTTCGAGTTTTTACATTTACCAAGAAGTTCTTTATTTCCTTTCCCCCCCCTTTTTTTTAGAAAAAATATATTTTTCATTTCTAACTTTATGTCCAACGTGTTAAGGATTATTAGTCATAATCGTAAATACAAAGAAAGCTTTATGATTATAATTTTGGTTTATTATTATTGTTATTATTATTAACTGCGAGTTTGAATGTGTAATTTTTATGTAAAACAAATATATTAAATACATGGATCGAATTGATATTAATGAGGTGACAAGAAGGGGCATGGAATGGGAGGGTTTGAAGGAATAGTAGAGGGGTGAAATCATAATTTGAAAATAGGCTGGTTAAGGATTAGGTAGGAGTTTACGGTGTGAAGTGGAGGAGATATGGACTCTATGCATTTGCCAATTAATATTTTTCTGTTTGCTTCTCCTTCACCGCTTCAGATAAACACTCTTTG